CCTGTAGTGCCATGGTGGAATTCTGAACACAAGCCCAAGTGTACCCAGCTGGCCAAGCAGGCCAATGGCACCTGGCTTGTACCAGCACTGGTGTGACCAGGGAATTGATTGTCCCCCTGTGTGGACACCCTGGTGAGGCCACACCTTGAATCCTGGCGTCAATTCTGGGCCGCTCATAACAAGACATTGAGAAGCTGAAGCATGTCCAGGGAAGGGAACGGAGCTGGGGAAGTGGCTAGACACCAGGAGCAGCTGAGGGAGCTGGGGGGGCTCAGCCTGGAGAAAAAGAGTCTCAGGGGGGACCTTCTGGCTCTCTGCAACTCCCTGACAGGAGAGTGGAGACAGGGAAGGGCCAGGCTCTGCTCCAGGGAACAAGGGACAGGACAAGAGGGAACAGCCTCAAGTTGTTCCAGGAGAGGTTTAGATTGGATATTAGGGAAAATTTCTCCGCTGAAAAGCTTGTCCAGCCCTGGCACAGGCTGCCAGGGCAGTGGTGGAATCACCTTCCCTGGATCTGTTCAAAAAGCATGGATATGGCAGTTGCGGACATGGTTTGGTGGTGAACACAGTGGTCCTGCATTGATGGTTGAACTTGATGATCTTCAATGTGATTCTGTGGCTGAATCTGGCTCAGATGGAGCCAGTTTTCCCCATAGCAGCCCTCAGAGTGCTGTGCTTTGCATTTGGAGCTAGAAAAGGAGTTGGAGACACCCCAATGTTTTGGCTACCACTGGGCAGTGCTCCCACAACATCAGTGCTGCCTCCCCAACATTCTGCTCCCACCAGGAGGGAAAGATCCTGGGAGGGGACATAGCCAACAGCTGACCCAAACTGACCAAGGGGATCTTCCACCCCACGTGACATCACTGAGATAAAAAAGCTAAGAGAAGGGAGGAGAAAGGGGGACTCATTAGTGTTTTACAACGTTTGCCTTCTGGAGCAACGAGCACATGTGCTGAAGCCCTGCTTCCCAGGAAACATCTGGACGTTGCTTGCTGATAGGAAGTAGAGAATGAAATCTTTGGGGGTTTTTGCCTTTGCTTGCTCATGTGCAACCTTCACTGTTGCTTTGGTAAACTGTCTTTATCTCAACCTTTAAAGGGTTTTTTTTCATCTTTTTCTCCCTCCCCACGCCATCCTGCTGAGGAGGGGGGGTGATAGAGCGGCTTGGTAGGCTACTGGCATTTATCCAGGGTCAACCCACCCCACGTGGCAAGGTGAGATTCTCTGGGGTGAACTGAAGGAGGTTAATGAGACCCTGGGAAGGTGCTGTACCCGTTGCCATCCTGCTCTTGACAAGCCCTACTAAGCCAAAGGGACATGTGAGGTGCTGCAGGCATCAGTTGCAACCTACTCAGCTGAGTTAATTTTCTGAGCTCCTCCTTTCCCCAGACACCTCTTTCTGGCTTCTCCAGCATGTTCTCCCATTTTCAAGCCAGGGTTTGCTTCTCTGAAAGGAGGAATTGGTTGTGCTCAGTCAAGAAGAATTTCCCAACCTGGAGTTGTTGGGAGTGGAGTGAGTACATCAAATACTATTTTCCATATTTCTTTATACCTGTACTAGTAAATTAGGCAATTTCAAGGCCTGCTCATGGGCACTTGTAGCTTCATCATGCCCTGTGCAGGGCCAGGACTTGGCCTTAATGATCCTTGTGGGTCCTTTCCAACTCAGGAAATTCTGTTATTCTACGATTCAACGCTCAGTTCTGAGCATAATCACTGGATTGATCCAGGCTTGCTGGGACTTTTCAAGTCACCATAACCTGCACAGGGTTCAGGACTCTGTAGGCACCAGGGATCATTCCCAATATTGAGTATGAAGGCAGCTGCCTGGTTCTGGAGGATGAGAGAGTTGATTTCTGTGGTCAGTCCTGGCTCACTGGCCTGAGGAAAAGCAATCAGTCCTTTGTTGTCTCTTACAGTCTGAAATTCCTGACCTTGGTCAGCTTGTGGTTGTGTGGGTCAGGCCATGAGGGCTCTTTTTTCCTCAAAGCATAGCCCAGGGCCTGTGCTGATGAGCCTGTCTGTGCTCTTGTGACCCTCTCACACATCCACATCCTCTTCATCTCATGCCAGCCCGTTGCCTGAGGCGTCCTCCTGGTGGTGATACCCGGAGCCACCTCTGAAAATCAAACTGTGCCAAGGCTCAGACACCATCCTGGAATAGTCCACCCTGTTCCACTGTCAACACAGTCTCTGGAAATTATGGCCAAGTCCAACTAAGATGGGTGTAGCCACATGGAGTGAAGTCATGCCAGCTGGCCAAAGACAAAGGCTGGTTTTTGGTCTCCTTTGTTTAATGACAGAGACAGAGCCTCTGCCTCCAAAATCCATCCACTGCCATCCACATGGAGCATCTTTTTCCACAGCACTGGGGGGGAGAGGGTGTTGGTTTTTTTTCATCAGGAGCATCTCTTGCTTCCTGTGGTTCTCTCCAAAGGTTATTTGACCACATTTCTGGATCCAATGGCTTTGGCTCCGTTGGCGCAGGGACAGGAGTGACTTTGCCCTGTGCAGTTCATGTGCTGCTGCAACATCCGTAGTAAATAAGCGTGAGGGTAATTACACCAACAGGAATTCTGGGAATCCTGCCAGGAGGGAGGGCACAGCCAACCCTTTGTGCATTAAAAAAAATAAAAAAAAAATCCCCCCAATCCCCCTCCCAACCTCAAATTAGTTCTATCTCTTGAAGCCGTGATGAGACTCAGAACTAAAAATACACACAAATACACACACTCTCGTATATAAAAATAGCCAGCATTCAAAAAAATATAAAAATAAAATAACAAGCCTAAAGTTAGGCTCCTGTATCCAAAATTAAGCTCTTAAATAAATAAATTAGCCTGATTTTCAAAAGCACAGAACGGTGAATGGTTTTCTCTGACATAAGAGGAAGCATCGTGTTGCTAAAGATTGAAGATCAGGCCCGAATATGGATTTGAAAGTCTAATTATAGAAGCCTGTTTGGTACCAGCTTGACCGAGAACAACAAATTTCAGGTGAAATGACATTGATTTTTTTTTTCTTCTTCTTTCTTCAGAGTTTGTCTACACTTAAGCAGTGATAGTGAAAGTAGGAAAAACCCTCAAACAAGTAAATAAAATACCACAAGGAAACAGATAAACCAGAGTAAAACTGCTTACACCAGTGTTGAACATTTGTGTTTGCAAATAAAGTTAAGAAATATCAGTGTTAGAGCTGGGTGAAATTTCATGTTGATTAATTAAGTAGATATTTAGTAATTGTTGGAAGCCTACCAGGTAGAAATATTGCCTTTCCCAGTTATTCTCAGAATATTTCCCAGTTAAGATCACAATCGACTGGCACCAAGGAGGAATGGGGTTTTAGTCCTCCTTTTCCTCTCTTCCAGACTTGAAGGAAGCTGAGGAAGTTCATTTCCCTTCAGCCCCAAATGGTCCTTGGAGCTGCTTTGCTCACGTGCTGGGACCATTTGCTGGCCAATATTGTGCCAAGGGATTCCTGAGGTCCCAGTCCCATAGGATAGGAACAGATTTGTCCTTCTGGGTCTTCCTGCCCAGGTCAGATTGGGCAGGGCTGGGTTTTAGGGTGTGAAGGAGAATGTCCATCGTGGATGCAGGACCATCAGCAGGTGGGGCACTGCTCCACTCATGTTTGTGTTGTGGTTAGAGGCACCCAAAGCTCTGAGTTTAGATGCTGAAAAATCTTTCAGAGCACCTTTTTGGTGCTGGACGACTCAGTTTCCCCCTCTATGGAAGAGTAAAACACAGCTGACCTTTGCCAAAGGCTGTGGCTCAACAAGGACAATTTGGTGTTTCTGTCATTGCCATTGTTCTGACCATTGATGGAGACAGGATCAGGAAATTATGTTAATCCAATGTATTTTCATGTCCTTTCATGCTGCCTCCATTAATTGTTATCATGTCCTCTCACTGTGGCCAGTAAAAAACATTCAGGCTTAAATTGTGTGGATGGTGGTGAATCCCTAGAGATCAAGAAGAAATCATTGCAGGATTTGGTGTCCCTTCTTTAGTTTCTTCCTAATCTTTTTGAGTGACTCAATGTCACTGTTATTGTTAGGTTCAGCCAACCTGGAGTGCTTGGAAAAGTATTTTTTGGTCTTAAAAATAACCCAAAAGTGGACACAGGTGATGGGAACAGCAATGTGGAAGAGTAAGTCGTCATGGCTAGGCTTCATGAATGAAGATTTGGGAATGTGGAAGAGCAGAGGTGTCGAAAATGTCACCTCTGAGAGGGGACTGAAGGAATTTTTCTCTGGAGAAAAGGAGGCTCAGGGGGGACCTCCTCGCTCTCTGCAACTCCCTGACAGGAGGGGGGAGCCAGGTGGGGGTCGGGATTGCTCCCAGGGAACAAGGGACAGGACGAGAGAAAACGGCTTCAAGCTGTGCCAGGGGAGGTCCAAGTTGGATATTGGGAACATTTTCTTCCTGGGAAAGGGTTGTCCAGGCCTGGCACAGCTGCCCAGGGCAGCTGTGGAGTCCCATCCCTGGAGGGATTTAAAAGCCATGTGGATGTGGCACTTGGGGACATGGGTTAGTGGTGGCCTTGGCAGTGCTGGGGGAACAATTGCACTCAATGATCTTAGAGCTCTTTTCCAACCTTAATGCTTCTGTGATTCTATGGGATTTTTCAGTCTGTATAGAAGAGTTTATGTGGTAACTATGGGCAAACAGGTAAATGACCGGCTGCAGGTTGAAAATGAATAAATTCTTCTCCTTGTCTATGGCTGAGGAGATGATAAATGAGTGACTTAAGCTTCAGAAGAAGAGTTTCATGTACCAGCAGGAATAGGAGCTTCTGGGGAGGGGAGGTCATCCAGGACTACAGGACAGATTTGGTGGTAGGACTTTGGCAGGGGTGATGGTGTCTTTGCCTGTGGGTAGCAACTTATGGGCACCATCACCTTGGGTTTTGGTGGCCCTGCGTCGCTGATATTATAAAAACCAGTTGCGTGGTCCACTTTTTCTGCTTTCTCCTTGAGCCATTACACTCTCCCTGACTTTGCCTTTCCAGCTGAACTGCACTTATTTAATTCCTTGCATGGGTGAAGGGAAGGCGGGATCCATTCTGCTGCATCTTCTGGGGTTGGGATCTTCCAGGGAAGTGCCAAGCACAGGTGGTGGATTTGGGCATGCTGGGGACTGGGAGAGCAGGTGGTCCACGGCCATTCCCACCCCACTCGGGGTCTGCTGGGAATGTCACACCAGTGTCACCAGTGTCGTATGTGACTGGCGTAGCATTTTCTCGAGTGTCGAGCCCCATCTGGTGGCTTTCCTGCGTCATTTTTCGTGTCCTTGCGGACTTCTTTCGGGATTTTTCGTCTTCTGTGCGCGTGAAGTGCGAACGGGAAGGAAGGACAGGGTGCTGGAGAAAGGGCAGGGCTCGCAGAGCTGCCTCTGCTTCCCTCCCAGCTCCCTGTCCCCGGGTGTAATTTGGAGACACAGGGGCTGTCGAGGCTCCCTCCTGCTCCTCCATGCTGTACAGTCTCGCCCGAGTGGCAAGGAATGATCTAATCGTTCTGGCGAAACCCCAGTTAGTGCTGCGAGCCCCTCCCAGAGCCTCCAGAAGGCACTTCGTCCCGCTGCCGCGCTGGCATCGGAGCTGGGACAGATGAACAGTCCCGGGAGGGGACATTTCTAACTATTGACTGGCTCAGATGACCAACTTTAAGGCTGGCATTAGGGGAAATTATTCCCATCCCAAAAAAGGCTACAGCCACCACTCAGGATGAGAAGGAAGAAGACCCAATATCAGATCATCAGTCCCTGGAAGTGTTCCAGGGACAGGCTGGATGGAGCTCTGAGCAACCTGTGACAGGTGACAGGTGTCCCTGCCCATGGCAGGCGGATGGAACAAGATGATCTTTAAGGTCCCTTCCAACCCAAACCATTCCATCATCAGCGGATGGAACAAGATGATCTTTAAGGTCCCTTCCAACCCAAACCATTCCAAGATTCTATGATATCCGTGAGCATTAGAAAGGACCCTGTTTCAGGAGAGGCTTCCTTTCCTAGATGCCATGAGTGCTGTGGCACCTGGGCACATTGTGCTGCCCTGCCTTGGTCAGCTCCATTTACAAAGATTGCCCAAATGTCCCCTGAAGGGAAGTTGTGTCCCCAGAGTGAGGTTTGCAGGTCTGTGAAAACAGAAGCAAGGGTAGAGCAGTACCTGTCCGTGCACAAGGCACTTCCTTGTAGTCCAACATTGCCTAAAGTCCCCATAGCTGACCAGTGGCAGGCTGTGGCCTTTTGCATCTGTGGGTCACACCTGCTGAAGGTGAGGGTGATGTCTCATTGCTCCATCTGTGATGAAATAGGGTCAGATCACAGAATCATAGAATATCCTGAGTTGGAAGAGACCCATGAGGATCATCAAAGTCCATCTCCCAGCCCTGCACAGCACAGCCCCAAGAGTCCCACCCTGTGCCTGAGAGCACTGTCCAAATGCTTCTTGAACTCTGGGGTTTGTGACAGAACCTCCTTATCAGAGTGCTGGAGGGACTTAGATGGTCTGTCAATCCACCACCAAGTGTTATGACCAGTATTTTTCAAGTAGCTTCTCTTCTTATGACGAAAATAAAGCGAGAGAGTTGTTTTCTTGTGCTTCACAAGCATTTCCTACCCCCAGGCTTCACGTTTGGCTGGTACAAGTTAAAGATTTTCCACTTGTGCAAGATGAAGTACATTTTGTGATATGTTTTAGTGGGCATGGTAGTATTCAGTCAAAGGCTGGACTTGATGGTCTTGGAGGTCTTTTCTAACATTAACGATTGGTTGGATTCTAAAAGTGCTCCTCAGATCTTGCAGGAGATAGAAGAACCCCCTATGTCTACCCCTGATTCCCTGTCCCCAAAACAGCTGGCCCAACCCTCCTCGGGTTTTGACACGTGCCAAAGCCTCACACTCAGCTGTTCCTCCTGTGTTTCCTGCAGGTATATCCGAACTATGTACCTGGGGATCCAGAGCCAGAGGCGGAAGGAACACCAGCGGCGTTTCTACTGGGCTATGATGTACGAATATGCAGACGTAAACATGCTGCGCCTCCTGGAAACGTTCCTCGAGAGCGCCCCTCAACTGGTGCTACAGCTCTGCATAATGATCCAAAAGAACCGTGCAGAAGCATTACCATGTAAGTGGCCCCCCTCATTCCCCCTCTCCCCACCTTCCCGGCCTCCCCCTCCGATCCTGTGCTCAGCAGGGGTGTGTTGGACATGGATGTGTTGCTCACTTCCCGCCCCGGCGTGTCAGGGGCTGCCGCTCCGGACAAATCTCATCCCAGCTCTGCGCTGCGTTCGCTGGGTGAAATTTCTGATTGTTTCGCTGAGAAAAAAAGGAAAAGATGAGATTCAGCTGTTCCACACCCAGTCCAGGCTAAAGGAGTGATGGTGGTATGAGGAGGAGGCAGGAGGGCTCTGCTGCCATGGCAAGTGTCACCGTTCGTTTGCCCCCTGGCACTGGGTGAACGTGACCATTCCCTGCCTCAGTTTCCCTCCTTACATAAAGTAGGGTGATAAAACTGGCCAGATTTGAGTTTGTGTTGTGAGGACAAATGGTTCAATGTCTGCAATGCTCTGATGGTGTTGAGTGTAGTATAAGGGGGGAGCTTAAATAGCCAAACGATGTGGGACTTTTTCTGATGAGTTCACAGGAATTAAGGTTTTGTCATTGGTACTGTGGTCCTGAGCGAGTCAAAGAAAAGAGGGGGAAGGCAGTGAAGGGAAATGTGTAGGGACAGAGAAGTAGTGGAGGTACCATTGCAAAAGGTAGATAGATGATCAGAGGCTTGGAAGCCACCACAGGGAATAGTTTTCCAATTCTGATGTGCTTCACTGCAGTGACGTGCCGAGCATGGGACATCCATCCCAGCTGAGAGGGATATGGCCCTGTCTCAGCACTGGGATGAGCTGCTCTCCCAGCCCATGGGCATGCTGGCTGCCTGAGGGTCACCAGCTCGAGGGTGAATTGTCCTTTACAAGGGCCAACAGTGGTATCAGCTGAGGAGCTCCTGGATTATTCAGCCCCTGCTCGATTCACTCAGCAGGGATGACACTCAGCTTCCCAGAGACAGCCTGGTTGGGGCAAGTCATTTCTGACAGACATGAGGCGTTCTTGGAGCTGAGATTGGAACTGAAATAGGAATTAACTTAGGGGTTAAATTTTGCTGGTTGAACCAAGGTCACCACTATCTACAGCACCAGTAAGTCTGACTGCTCTCCCTTTCCTCCATACTTCCAGCATGTCCATCAGGGTTGTTTATAGAGGCCTCCCTCCTCCTGTTTATGCAGCCTTTTTCTGAAACCTCTCATCACGAGCTCTCCAGGCCTCCAAAGTGCTGACATGATGAATATGCCTTTCTACAACTCCTGCTAGAACTGCTCACATTTGCCAGCCCCCTTTTCCTGCTGCTTCCAACATTATTAACCCTACTGAAAATGTAGAGATCATCTGCCAGGTTTGCCAGGGCGTTACGCAGATTGTTGGCCTCGCTGCAGAAAGCGCTGGGTGAAGTTTGCTGGCCTCTGTTGTGCTGCAAGTCAGGCAACACGCCTGAATAATCCCTCTAGTCTTTCAAATCTGTGGCTCTTTCAGTTTGCCACTTCCAGGCATGGCTGCCTAATCCACTGAACAAGCTGCATCATTTTCCAACCCCCCCCCCCACCCCTTCTCCGGCTTTGCAGTTCCTCCGCTCCTCCACCACGCCGAGCCGGCTGCGCTCTCTTCCAAGGCAGCGCACGTCCCCGCCTGCCTTCCCGAGCCCTGGAGGGCTCTTTGCCTGCCACGCTCCAGCAGCCGAGCTCTCCGGGTCCCCAGCGCACCCTCTCCCCGCCTCCCTCCCCGCCTGTGCCAGGGATGCGGTCGCGCATCCCGGCGCTGCGATGCTGATGGATGTGAGCAGCAGAGCTTGCTCAGCGCTCCCTGACTCAGGTGCAAGGTTTCCTAGAGCTCCTCCATGCCCGTTCCGTGCTTCTGTCTTCCTCCTCCTCCTCCTCCTCCTCCTCCCGGCCAGTACATAATTATACAGAAGGAAATTAAATGCTGTGAGGAGCCATTAAGAAAGGGAGCATCAAAGATTTCCCTTAAAGCAGGCAGAAACCAAAGGAATATGGATGTTGTTAGGAAGGCAGTGTGTTTAAAAATCAAATCAAGTCTCTCCTGGCTCATCATGTCCATGGGAGCAGTGGCTCATCACAGGAAGAGGCCAGTTCTGGCTTCAGCATCAGCTGCATCCCTGAGGGATTCACGCTGGCAAAGCAGCCCATGGCAGGGCTTATAAACCCAGGTATGACCCCTGCTAATGTGTCCAGGCTCCAGCTCTTTCCATATGGTTCACACAGACTCTTATGGATTCATTAAGTGCCAGAGCAAGGTTGATTTGCCATTTTCTGTGGCCCATCCCCCCTCCAAGCCCAAATCCTCCCTGCTCTTCAGATTGCAATGTCAAGCCTAGTGCAGGAAACTAAGCCAGGCTCCAGTTTTCCCCAAATGGGTCAGCTAATGTCTCCTTCTATTTAAGAAGCTTTAGAAAGGGAGTTATTGGAATGGTTATCAGGAGGTTTTGCTTTTTTTTCTCCTAGTTCCTGGTGTTAAGAGAGCTGTTGAGGAAAGAAGAGTGAATACACTGGAGGTCTTTACTCAGACCCAGAGCATCTGGTGGCAGAAAGGGCTGATCTTGCAAGGACTAGTAGAGGGGGATACAATCAGGTTAATGTTTAATTTCCTTGTTTTCATGTCTACTGGGTGAGTGGAAGAAAGAAAAGCCTCATCATGCCTTGCAAGACCCATTTTACCCTGAGAGGTACCTGTCTGAGCGGGTTGGGTGAAACCTGTGTTTGTTGTTCCTTCAGCACTCAAAGAACAGAGTTTTACCCAAAAGTGGGAGTCCCCTGCATGCTCTGACACCACTAGCAGCAGAAGTGCTGGAGCTGGATTTGGAGGTGAAGACCTAGCCTCAGTAAAGCTTGAGACAACACCCTTGGGATTTCATAAAAGTCAAGACTCCTTCCTTTATCATGTCCCAAGCACCAGGCAGACCAGATCTCAGCTTAGCTGCCCCTACCTGGGGAAGAACAGAAAGTAGCAAAGAGGTAAGAACTTGGTGTAGTCCATCAGGTGAGCAGGTCTGACCTAGAAGGTGCACACTGGCAGCCTGAGTTGGAATACTTTGTGCTGTGGCTGCTGGGGCACATGGATCAACATCAGCTCCTGAATATCCGTATGGAAGGAGCTGGTATTGGTAGGCAGGTCCTTTGTGAATGATCCATCTGCTACAACCACAACTGTGGGGGTCCAAAACAGGGTCAACAGAAGGTAAGGGAAAAAGGATGCCTCCAAAACATGGATCAGCGCATGTCCAAAGCAGCTGAAGGAGGTGGGATGAGATGCTCAACCTCCAGCAAAGGCTTTCTCCAGGGATTCTGGACACAAGCTGGGTGGTGGATTTATACTTTTCCTTAGAGTTAGGGTAAAGGAGGTGATGGGTCACTGGAGAGGATGCAGCCCTGTTCCTCACTCACCCTAATTGTCCCTGTGGTTTAGGAGAGGATGGGTTGAAAGGATGTCCATCTCTCAGACTCCTGGACATCACCAACCAGGGCACTTGCTCTGATTTAAACACCATATTTACTGGAGGAAACATAATATTAACAACAGAAAAGGCCCAGCAACCCAGATCCTCATTTCATAATCACTCCTGGCAGATAATCCACCTCACTTCTTGCAGAACAAACCATCCTTAACCCACTTCACTCCTCAGAGGTGCCGGTTCCTCCACACTGAATGGGAAGGAGTAGAAACAACCACCTTAAAGGAGACCCCAACTTCACCTCAGTGAGGTGAGAGGGAGCTTTTCCTGGCATAAATCTCCTCTTAAAGAGGTTTGCTTTCACTTTTTTTTTTTCATGTGGCTACTTTAAGGCTTAATGAGATTAAGCAGGAGCTCAAACGTCTTTCCACTCATGTCACGAGTTCTTTACGCAGAGAGTTCCCTGGGAATCTTCCTGCATGAGGCTGCACTTTTCAGCATAGGGTCTCTCCCCCCCAAAAAGTCACATCCATCCACTGATGCTGTGGTCACCTCCTCTACAATCCTTGTGTTGATCTGAAAGAGATTTGCAATGTAAGCCTTCATTTGGCAAGGTCCTGGAATCTCCAGGATTCTGCAAGGTGTCTGAACTCTCCACAGCCCACAATAAGTACTGTGAAGCTGCTCATATATTTGAGGAAAAGCAACATTATCTTCAGCGGGTTTTTGGGTCATTCTTTTAAGCAGAGTGATACAAATTAGGCACTAAAAGGAGTTTCAGATATCTCAGCTACAGAAGTGTACTGGCTGCAGAGTTATCCTGGTGGAGTTTGCAAATCTTGTTGTCCCTCCTAAAGCAAAGTCCTATTTTTGGTCACCTTCTCCTTCTTTCTATATCATGTCTGGGGAGCATTTGTGATCATTTATGATCCTTCTTTGCAGGGGCACACTAAGATGCCTGTCACTTAGTTTAGAAGACTTAACTGATCTTGCAGAGTATTGAAGGACAAGCAGCAGGTTAGATGTCTCACTGCCCAGAGAAGGCATCCCTGGTGGAGCTGAGTGGATTTGGGATGAGCCAAAGTCAAGTTAAACCCTGCTGCACTTGAGTGAGAAGATTCCTGTGTGATAATGAGTTAGTCTAATGTGGAGATAAATTTCTCAGTTCATCTTCCCCGTTGACAGGCTGATAGTTAACCAATAATATGCTGTGAATAATGGATGTGCTGTGAGCTGCCTTCTGTGTGAAATGTCCTGGGATAATCATAGGATAGGGAATATCTCAAGGCACCATGACTTGCTGAGGAATGGCTTGAGATTTAAAACCAAGGCCATCTCTAAAGGATAACACATGAATGAATTACTTCTTACTCGAGCCCCAAAGATCAAACAAATCTTCTTAGCTGGGACACCCGAGTTAGAAAGAGACCTTCAGCCTTTAGTTGCTCAAAGGTGTGATTTTCAAATGACATAACACTGGCCTGAATGTAACCGAAGTGACTAAAGTTCCCGTGTCTCCACTAGAAATGTAGAAGAGACTCATCAGATTTGAAATTCCATCCTTTTCACCATTTCCATTCTTGAGGGAACACTAGAAGTCAGTGCAA